TTAGCCAGGATGGTCTCGATCTCCTGACCTCATGATCCGCCCACCTCGGCCTCCCAAAGTGCTGGGATTACAGGCGTGAGCCACTGCACCTGGCCCCTTTTTAAGTTTTTTAAAACTCTTTTTGGATGCTCCCTTTCAGAACCCACCTGCCATGCTGTGAGGACACCCAGGCCACATACATAGAGAGAGTAAGGCCACATGTAGGTGTTGCAGCCAAAAGCCCCACTGAAAACCAAGCCTGCAACCAGCATCAACTGCCAAACATGTACTGAAGAGGCTGAGATGATTCCAGCACTTGTGGCTGACTGCAACCGCAAGAGAGACCCGGAGCAAGAGCCACCTAGCTGGGCCCAGTTACTCCCAGAATCATGAGAGAAATATGTAATTGATTGTTATTACTCTATAAGCCACTAAGTTTACATATAATGTGTTATGCAGCAGTAGATAGCTGGAACAGGAGCCAATAAACACTGAATGAATAAATGTGGATAGGTCTGGTTGAAGGAACATTGCATGTATTTTAGCTTTGTGAAAGGTTTCATTGACAACTCTCAGCTTCTCCCCCAAGAAGTCTTGGAGATTCTGGAAGGCCCAATTCAGAAACTCAGGCTCACCCAAGGAGAGACTCCCAGAAACTCTCAACTCAGGACAGGAAACATGGCGAGGCTGTCAGAAGTTAGCTCTGAGCCTGATGCAGTGGCTCACACCTACCAGTAATCTCAGTGCTTTGGAGGCAGACGATGGAGGATCTCTTGAGGCCATTTGTTCAAGACCAACCTGGGCAACCTTCTTATTCTTGGGCCCATGGATAATTTCAGGGGAGTAAAAACATACAACATTTTATCTGTGTATATGTGCATTTTCCCGAGGAGACGTTATCCAAGCTCTGTTATCAGATTCTTGAGTCTGTGTCCAAAAAATGTTAAGAACTACTGATCTAGTCCAACTATTTCAATATCTACATTAAGATACTAAGATATTTTATGTACTAAAGTGGACTAAGTACCCTGAATAAACTTCTGAAAACAATTATGGATAAAATAAAAATGTATTTATTTTTTGATGCACTGATGAGCTGGCAAGAAAGTAAGGAATACTCAGGCCAAACAAGTCACGAATTCAAAGGCAAGTTGAGCAATGAAACTGACTTTTGCCTTTTGGACATTTTTATTTTATTTTTATTTTTTATTGTCTAACCTAGTCACAATTTTAATTTTTAAAAAAAATTTTTGTGATATAGTCTTGCTCTGTCACCCAGGCTGGAGTGTAGTGGCATAGTCTCGGCTCACTGCAACCTCCACCTCCCAGGCTCAAGCGATTCTCGTGCCTCAGCCACCTGAGTAACTGGGAATACGGGCACGTGCCACCGTGTCCCACTCATTTTTGTATTTTTTGTAGAGAGGGGATTTTCCATGTTGGCCACGTTGGTCTTGAACTGGCCTCAAGTGATCTGCCTGCCCTGGCCTCCCAAAGTACTGGGATTACAGGCATGAGCCACCGTGCCCAGCTCCTCTTAACAAGTTTTTAAGTGTACAGTTTAGTATTAACTATAAACACAATACGTACAGCAGATCTCTAGAACTTATTCATCTTGCATGACTGAAACTTTATCATTTTAATTTTTGTAAATTTTAAACTTAAAAATTTTTTTTTTGTTTGAGACAAGGTTTTGCTCTGTTGCCCAGGTTGGAGTGCAGTGGCACCACCATGCCCAACTGTTTTTTTGTTTTTGTTTTTGTTTTTGTTTTTGTAGAGACAAAAAAAAACCCCAGATAGGTGGCTCTTGCTCCGAGTCTCTCTTATGGTTGCAGTCAGCCACAAGTGCTGGAATCATCTCAGCCTCTTCAGTACATGTTTGGCAGTTGATGCTGGTTGCAGGCTTGGTTTTCAGTGGGCTTTTGGCTGCAACACCTACATGTGGCCTTACTCTCTCTCTGTGGCCTGGGTGTCCTCACAGCATGGCAGGTGGGTTTCCCCGTCTTACTATGTTGGCTAGGTTAGTCTTGAACTTCTAGTTCTCACGTGATCTTCCCTCCTCAGCCTTCCAAAGTGCTGTAGTTACAGGTGTGACCCACTGCACCCAGCCCATTATTTATTTATGTATCTGTTTGTGTTTTCTTTTTGTGGAGAATGGGGTCTTGCTATGTTGCCCAGGCAGTTCGCTAACTCTTGGGCTCAAGCTAACCTTCTGCCTCTGCCTCCCTAAGTGTAGGGATTATAGGTGCGAGCCACTGAACCTGGTCCGGTGAGTAACTTTTAACTCAGTAAACTTGAACTTGAATTTTCATGGTCTCATGGGAGTCAGTGATTAGAGAGAACCAGTGGTGTGACAGTAACTGGCTCTCCAACAAAACAAAGCACTGTTTTGTGTACAGTTCAGTATTAACTATAAGCACAATATTGCACACATATTTTTTAGTGTTTTAGTTTTTGTTGATTTCCATTAAGTAAATGTTCCCACCGTAGATTTCAAGCCATTAGTGGTACGAAGAACAGGCACAAAAAATATTTGGTTCTTGTGAACTGATAGGAGCAAACTCCAACACACACTACTGAGAGAAACTCAGGGCTCCTCTAAGGTGGGAAGTCTAAAAAACCTAAAATTGGGACTCCAGTGAATGTGTGAGCTACATATAAACACCATTACCTCCTAAGAGACTGAAAAGGAAAATGCCTATCTCAATTTCCCTATCCTTAAGAGAAAAATGTCACTCCCAAAGTGCTGGGATTACCAGTGTTGAGCCACCATGTACATCCGCCTTGCCCTCTTTTGCTATGTGCTTTAGGAGGTAGGTGACGGTGTAGTGTAAACTGGCACAGCAGCTGGAGGATACAAATGTAGGTACAAACAATAAGTAAGAATTCATTGGCACTAAAATTTGTTTAAGAGAATTCTAAAATCAGTGAAAAGATATCTTAAGAGTAAGAAAAAATAATGACATGATACAAACAAAAACTGTATTCGCCCACCAGCAGACAGAAATAAAAAGTGATCCTAGATAGAAAAAATGAGAGACAAGAAGGAACATAGAACAAAGTGGTACATGTGTGGGTAAGTCTACACAAATGTTGTATTAACATTAATAACAATGTCTTATGGGCTTAAAAACACAGGCCAGGTGTGGTGGTTCACGCCTGTAATCCCAGCACTTTGGGAGGCTGAGATGGGCAGATCACTTGAGGTCAGGAGTTCGAGACCAGCCTGGCCAACATGGTGAAACTCTGTCTCTACTAAAAATACAAGTATTAGCTGGGAGTGGTGGTGGGCCTGTAGTCCCAGCTACTTGAGAGGGCGAGGCACAAGAATCACTTGAACCCAGGAGGCAGAGGTTGCAGTGAGCCAAGATCATGCCAATGCACTTTAGCCTGGGTGACTCAGTGAAACTCTGTCTCAAAAAAAAAAAAAAAAAGTAATTCTCCTGCCTCAGCATCCTGAGTAGCTGGGATTATAGGCACATGCCACCATGCCCGGCTAATTTTGTGTATTTTTAGTAGAGATTGGGTTTTGCCACGTTGGCCAGGCTGGTCTAGAACTCCTGACCTCAGGTGATCCATCTGCCTCGGCCTCCCAAAGTGCTGGGATTATAGGCGCGAGCCACTGTGCCTGGCCTGTTTTTCTTATTAAAATATGGAACGTTTCACAGATTTGTATGTCATGCTTGTGCAGAGGCCATGCTAATCTCTGTATCATTCAAGTTTTAGTATCTGTGCTGCCGAAGTGAGCCCTGCCATTCGTTTTTTTAAACTCAAATGATTATACCTCTTCCAGGAAGCCTTCTCTGAGAGCCGCCCTCAGAACGATGCCCCAGAGGGGGCCCAAAACAGGTACTCCACACTAACCCATGCATGTTATTGTCCCTCCGTTTACCTTAGTGTTCTATAGTGACCATTCCATCTCCCCAGTGATGGGGTAAGTTCCTCAAAGGTACTTTGTTCTTTTTGTTTTTTTGGTTTTTGTTTTTTTTTTGAGACGGAGTTTCGCTCTTGTTGCCCAGGCTGGAGTGCAATGGCACAATCTTGGCTCACCGCAACCTCCACCTCCCGGATTCAAGTGATTCTCCTGCCTCAGCCTCCCGAGTAGCTGGGATTACAGGCATGCACCACCATGCTTGGCTAATTTTATATTTTTAGTAGAGACAGGATTTCTCCATGTTGGTCAGGTTGGTCTCGAACTCCCGACCTCAGGTGATCCTCCCGCCTTGGCCTCCCAAAGTGCTGGGATTACAGGCGTAAGCCACCACACCCAGCCTACTTTGTTCTTTTCTGTACCCCCAGCACCTAGCTCAGGGCCTGGCACATAGCAGAAGCTAAAAATATTTGTTTACTATCACAAAGAGGATGAGGGAAAAAGCAAAACAAAACAAATGTGTAGGGGGCTGGGTGCAGCAGCTCTGGCTTGTAATCCCAGCATTTTGGGAGACTGAGACAGGGGGATTGCTTGAGCCCAGGAGTTCGAGACCAGCTTAGGTGAAGTAGCAAGACCCTGTCTCTACAAAAAATAAAAAATAAAAAATTAGCTAGGCATGGTGGTGTGCTTGTGGTCCCAGCTACTCTGGAGGCTAAGGTGGGAGGACTGCTTGGGCCTAGGAGGTTGAGGCTGCAGTGAACCATGATCATACCACTGCACTCCAGCCTGGATGACAGAGCCAGATCCTTTCTCAAAAACAAAACAAAAAAAAATTTTTAACTGTAGGATGAATGAGTGAATGCAGCTTACATGTGGTAGAGGCAGGTTGAATCCGCATTTGGCTGCAAAGCCTGAGCATTACCTGGGACTGGGGGCAGACTTGATGAGACTGAAGTTGTTTTCAGGCTCAGTAGTTCCCTGTTCTTGGCCTTGCTGAGGCTGTAAGTGCTTCTATAGAGGCCACAGCCCAGCCCAGGGGACCTGAGTTCCCCTGTGCCCATAGTTTTCAATGTACCCTCCTTTCAGTGTGCCCTCTGAGCCTGGGTGGCACCAGGACTACCCCAAGGTGGTGGGTTGTGCAAGCCTTGACTCCTGGACTCCCCCTCATTTGGGGCTCGGTCTGGTGGCACAGGTGACCCTCCCCTCCTTCCTGCCTTCTGTGCGGTGCCCTGCACCATGCTCCCCATCACTCCCTCCCTCTCCTTTCCACCTCTAGCCAGGAGCCTGGGACACAGGGCTGTGAGAAACCCTTTGAAAAATAGTGTCTCCAGAAAGCTCCTGTTTCTCAACCATAGTTTGCCTGAGGAAGACAGCCAGTTCCTCTGGGGCCGAAGTCTCCCACGGGAGTCTCTGGT